GATCAAACAATTAATTGGCGTGAACTAATACAGGAAAACAATTGCTGACGCAGAAAGTTAAAGTACACTAATAGGAATAATGCAACATATATTTATAAATATGTCACACAAATGAACAACATTGATTTAACTACACGATAGAGTTTAATACTCAAATATGCACCGAAGAGAATTCGAATTATGATGAAACGTCTTTCAATTGTTGATGGTGTGGCCTTTTGGAACAATGGGTGGCTCAATAATCGATTAAATATTTGACTTTTTATAGACTACGGATTGTTGTATCGAGCCAAAGCTTTTATTTGCTGTGTAAATTGATGGAAACAAAGTAAAGGAGAAACTCTTTAGTGCAACTTCGATACCATGTCCCATGGCATCTCTTAGGGAGACGAAAATTTTAAAAAAAAGTTTAGAGGGATTTTTAAATAAAGATCTTGTCATGCGTAGAAACAAGTTTTATGCATGAAAAATATAATGATTCATTCAATTTAAATATAAAAAACTTACATCAAGGTTTGAGTAAACTTTAAATTTCTCCTCTAAAGTAAATGTTCTCACTTATTGTAAATTCCTTTATTAAATGCCTCCTTCTTGGATCTCCATCTTGTTAATAATGATATTACCTTTAGGAATCCCCCATGAGCCTCCATGAATCACTCATTGATAATATTCTCACTTATTAATGATTATTTGTTTTAATGGTTAGGGCTTGTGTATCTTTGTATTAAATAATATTGATAATCATATTAGACTTCATTACAATAATTTAGGACCCAAATAGAAGAGTTACAGGTTCTTATTTTCTTTCAAAGATTCAATCTCTATATATTAAAAAGATCTAGTAACATAATCTTTATAGGTTAACTCAAAACTCTCATTTTCTTTCAAAGATTTAATCTTTATACACTAAAATAGTCTAGTGACATAATAGATACTTGATTGAGGTTTTTTCATTCAAAAATTCAATCTTTACTCATTAAAACACTCTTTTGGACGTCAAAGGGAACTCGAATAAGTTTAACTCAAAACCCTCATTTTCTTTCAAAGATTCAATCTTTATACATTAAAAAACTAAGTTTCAGATGACAACACTAACCCTAAAATTTTAAAGAGAAAAAATAATTTATTTTCTTCCAAAAATTATTGCACAAATGCGTAACCTCAAATATACATGGACCCCATGTATATTTTTCTCAATCTTTAAAATTAACGTTATATCTCAAATCTAATGAGCCTCCAATATTAAGTTAGGTTATGAGTGAGAATCATTTTAGTTTATTATTTTCTTGTCTACAATGAGTTAATAATTGGCTCAATCCATTCTACCATGCACCTAATTCAATTAATTCATAAATTAATTTCTACTCCATTAAAAGAAATTAATTGAACTTCATTTAAATAATAAATAACCTCTAAATCAATATTGCATTTTGACCCCTCTATGAATAATTAGTTATCCGATAAATAAAAACATCAATCCGACTACTAAATTAATATATATATTTTGGTACCTTTCATTATTTCCGACTTGATCACAATAAAAATATTATTTGACAAAAATAATAATTTAAATAAATATATATAAAGAAAATTATTTTGTCTAAAAATACGCGAAGGCTTTCGAATTTACTTTGTGATCAACCATAATTAATACAAAATAAATACAAGTAGTAATGATGCAAATATTGAAAATATAACCCTCTAACTATTAATTACTTAATTACCCAAAGTGCCGGTCTATGGATTCCGAAGAATCCGCCGAACAAATCAAAATAATTATTAATTAATAAAAGAATTTATACTTCTTTCACGCTTAAGAGTCAAATACCACGATAATGATGAGGAGCAATTATATACTACGGCTCTCACAATATATCTCAATGTAATGCGGATCCAGTTCAAGTCTTAGTTAATAATGAGTCCATCCATAATTACAGATTGTGAACTATTTATGATTACTATTTAGGTTCATGTATTGATCGCCATCACATACATATAAATATCTTTTGTAATCACATGGATAATATCAATTCCAAAATGAATCGAAACATAATATATTAAATTCACCAATTGTATAAAATATAAATATTTCAGATATGTTAAAAATATACGTTACTTCAATTCAAATAAAAATTCGCAATGCGAGGGCATACAAATCCCAATAGTATCACCTACCAATTATATGTGATCAAATTAGTGATGTATATATAAAATGATACAAATCCCAATAGTATCACCTACCAATTATATGTGATCAAATTAGTGATGTATATATAAAATGACGATACAAATGACATGGTGTCACAGACACGTGATGATGGATTCACTCAATTTTGTATCATCATTTTATTAAAGTTTTTTGCCCTTTAAAGTACTGTAGGATGGATTCACTCAATTTTGTTTCATCATTTTATTAAAGTTTTTTCCCCTTTAAATGGTTCGTCGACAACTTTACTTGATTAGATAATTTTTTATGGCATGGTATTTTGCTTGATTCCTGTCGCTTTATAGATTTTGCCCTCTGTTTTCACATTCTCTTTAACTCAAAATCAAGTAAGCTCCTTTTCTTTCGTTTTCCTTTTCCACGAAACCAAGCAATTAAAATGTATGCCAGGCTTCCCAGCACCTTCCTAGCAGGTGGGATGGTATTGGAGTAAGAGAGAAAAATAAATAAACAATGACGTAAAGATCAAACAGTAAAGTAAAGGGCTCAAATATAACAAGTGTTGTAAATATAATACAATATATGTGACAAGAGACCCACAAAGAGAGCCGCGGGATATATAGATATATAAGGATGGTATGAATTTAAATCATATAGAATAAAAAATATAGTAACATAATAAACTTTATCAACCACCCACCAATTAAAGTGTCATCCCCAGTGTGATAGAGCAACTAAAAGCACACCATGCACTACCAGATACCTTTCGCTTTATAGATTTTTGAGTCTGTTTTCACACACTCTTCAACTCAAACCAAATATGCTCCTTTTCCTTTCTTTTCTTTTTTCTTTTCCACTAAACCTGCTTTATTGATTTTTCACTCTTGGTTTCACTCTCTCTTGAATTCACCTTTTGCTTTGTTGATTTTTCAGTCTTGGTTTCACTTTCTGTTCAATTCAGAGGATAAGCATTCATAACACAACTTAGCTTCAATTATCTTCCTGACTTGGGCTTCTCTGCTGCTTTTGCAATCTCATCAAAATATATACTTAAAATCTCACCCAGGTATTCATCTGCCTTCTCAATTCTTAATTTGTAGCTTCGCTTTTAATTATTTTTTCCTACCTTTCTTAGGTTGTTTTTCATTCTAAGTTAATTATTTTTATCTTCTGTGTCATTATGTTTCATGCTTAGACAATCAGAAAGTGTCAACTCTAGTTGTTCATGTCTTTATTTTTCTCTTTCCCATTTTTATGCTTATTTATTATTGTGTAGCTTAAATAACTTTGCTGCAACTATAACACTTCAGCAGCTATGCTTCTCCTCTTGTTGTAACAATCATTAAGGAGTGTGTTATTCGCTTTTCCCTTTTAATTTACTCTGAAAACAATATTTAAGGCTGTTAGATTGTGATCATATCATGTGGTGTGGCATAATCTTCTCAGGGGAAGGGATTACCATGCCCTAGAAAATACTTTGAAAGTCCTTCCTTTTATATATATATATATATATAATTTTAAGTGTAATGATACGGATTCCGACATCTAGACACATCCGATTAATTTTATATGAGTAAGGGCTGATGTCGTCGTGATGTATGATGACATCAGTCCTAACTCACTTAAATCAGTCTGAACTTTTGGACTCCGAATCATTAATCTATTATTAAACTCTCCTCTAATAATTATTATAATACTTTCCAAGATGCAAAAGGAGCAAGTAATCACATGCGAATTCCATTATTTTACTTAGCAATGTCAATTTGATAATTTTTAAAAACAATATTTGTTATTTGAATTTCAAACTATCCAGACTTGATCAGGTTGAATTTTTTTTATGATCATCAAATTTGATCGATTTTCAGGGGGATTACCATGCCCTAGAAAATACTTTGAAATACCTTCATTATATATATATGTACAATTTCAAGTGTATTTGACAGCTAGACACATCTAATTAATTTTATGTAAGTGAGGGTTGATGTCATTAATTTTATCCATGATGTCATAATGATATCAGCCCTTACTCACATTAATCAGTTGGAATTGTACGACTTTCGGATTTCAAATCATTAATCTAATATTAAACTCTCCTCTAATAATTATTATAATACTTTCCAAGATGCAAAAGGAGCAAGTAGTCACATGCGAATTCCATTATTTACTTAGCAATGTCGATTTGATAATTTTTAAAAACAATATTTGTTATTTGAATTCCAAACTATCCAGACTTGATCAGGTTGAAATTTTGTATGATCATCAAATTTGATCGATTTTCAGTATACCTGAACTTCAAATTTGTATCAACTAGTTTTCTGTTGTTCAGCATCATGCATCAGCTTTCAACCAATACTTTGTCATTTTCTTTGTAATTAAAAATGGTCATTTGGAATATAAGGATATAGAAATCAAGAATAGAGTAAAAGGGAGTGATGAGTTTTTACATAATTTTCACAATTAATGTGTTAATTTTAATAATGTACTAAAACAATCTTGTTATATATAAGATAAACAATTGATATACAAATAATATGTAGAAATTCACACTCCGAGAGGGAGTATCTTCCAAAATTTTCTTTAATAGCTGAACGCAGTAACATGTTATATTTTTAGTTCAAGAGAACAACTTGCCAAAACTTGTACAGTATATTCGGACTTTTTTTGGCAACTAATTACTCTTTCATTTTTAGTTTTTCATTGAAGTGGGATTCGATTAGCATAATTTATCATCAAACTTGGTGATGAAGTTAATAGCAATTGATCTCTGTTGAAGTTCTCTTGCTTGTTGTATTTGAGTATATTATAATGCCCTCTTCGTTTTGTCAGTGCTGCCACTATGAATATGTTGGGGAACGTCACGGAACAGCTAAGCAATTTCAGCAGCCTTGATGATGAGATGCAAACTCTCGGAAGCAAAATTGAATCTTTGAGCTGCCGAGCAAATGATGTAATTGCAATGCTGCAAGAAGCAGAGTTTCGAACGGAAAAGAAACGAAAGAGAGAGGTCGAGAATTGGTTGGATAACGTGCAAAAGAAGAAAATTGAATTTCAAAGCTTAGAACAAGATGTAAGAGGAAGCAGTGTTTTTTAAAAACTACAGTTGGGAAAACGTGCTGAGAAAATGATTGGTGACGTGATAGAACTTGTAGAGCAAGGTAAATTTCCTGAGGGGTTGTTACTTAATGTGCATGACACCAAAGCAGTGCCGTTGCTGACCACAAAATTAATAGGTCAGAAATTTAAACAGAATTTGGAAGAAGTTTGGAATTGTTTAATAAAAGATAATATCATGCACATTGGAATTTATGGAATGGGGGGATCGGGGAAAACAGCCTTAGCATCCCATATTCATAATTTTCTTTTACAAAGTTCTGAAACTTCTGACGTCCATGTTTATTGGCTCACTATATCACAAGATTGGAGCATTGATAAATTGCAGGACGACATTGCCAACATGCTAAAGTTAGATCTCACAAAAGAGAATGAAAGGAAGAAAAGGGCAGCCAAACTCTCACAAGCATTGACAAGGATGAAGAAAGTTGTACTTATCTTGGACGACGTGTGGAAACATTTTAGTCTTGAGGAGGTGGGAATTCCTTGTAGACTTAATGGATTGAAGTTGATTTTTACTACACGCATGTTGAACGTGTGTCGTAAGATGGAATGCCAAGAAATAATCAAAGTAGGTCCTCTTTCTGAGGATGAAGCATGGAATTTATTCTTGGAGAAACTTGTGCCTGAAGGGGGTGAAATTCCATGGCAAAATGATCCAGAAATAAAAGAGACTGCAATGTCCATGGCAAAAAGATGTTGCAGCTTGCCACTCGCAATTATTACAGTGGCTAGAAGCATGATGGGGGAGAACGACATTCATGAGTGGAGGAATGCAATGCGAGAATTGAAAGAATTCATCACCAAGCACGGAGATATGGAAGACGATGTATTCATGAAATTAAAATTTAGCTACAAGCGAGTGAAGGATGAAAAGTTGAAAGATTGTTTCTTGTATTGTGCACTTTATCCTGAAGACCGTAGAATAAGAAGAGATGAATTGATACCCAAATTTATTGTGGAGGGACTGATAGATAGAATGAAGACGAGGCAAGCACAATTTGACAAGGGTCACGCTATGCTAAATGAACTTGAGAACATATGCTTACTGGAAAGTTGTGAGGAGGACAGTCTCCCTTGTGTGAAGATGCATGATTTGATGAGAGAGATGGCACTGGAGATTGCAGGTCGTCAATTGATGGTAAAGGCTGTAGGGAAAGTACCAAAAGAGCAGGAATGGACGGAAGATCTAAAGAGAATTTCCTTGATGGGAGATTTCATAGAAGATATTCCACCAGGCATGTCACCAAAGTGTCCTGGGTTATCAACATTGATATTGCAATGTAAGTGGGGTTTAAACTGGATTCCTAATAGTTTTTTTGAGCAAATGAGTTCCCTTCGTGTTCTCGATTTATCTTTTACTGGAATTGTGGAGTTGCCTAGTATTATATCGGACTTGGAGAATCTCACTGCATTGGTTCTTAGCTGGTGCGGAGGACTCATATTTGTGCCTCCTTTGGGGAAGCTTAGGGCATTACAGTTATTGGACCTCAGTAATACTTGGATCAAAGAAGTACCGCAAGGTATGGAAATGTTGGTCAACCTCAAATGCCTATATATGGATGGCATAATAGGTCTGGAGTCATTTCCATTTGGGATATTACCCAAACTCTGCAGTCTCCAAGATTTTCGAACTGGTTCAATGAAGATACGAGTAGAGGAATTGGAGGGGTAGGGGCAGCTGGAAAATTTTGAAGGGTGCCTGTATAGTATGTTTGATCTTAATAGATATATTGGCAAATCCGATCACTTTAAGCAGTTGAACACCTACCGTCTTCATGTAGGCGGATATTTATATGAATATCAGGTTGCCGTATATGCATATGAAAAAAAAGCGGTGCTTACAAATTGTTGTTTATATAGGCTTTTGGTGCTGCCAGATATCATTAGTCACCTGGAAATTCATAGTTGTCACATTTATAACTTGCAACTTTGTGGAGTTGAAAAAGAGAGACATTGCGCTCCACTTGGAGTAACTGCAACTCCACCTGGCACCCTTTCCAATCTTAAAGAGCTGGAGATCAGTATGTGTCAGAAAATGAAGAAGCTGTTGACGCCTAGGATGCTGGAGAACCTCCCAAACCTTGAAACTATTAGAGTCGAGCACTGTTATAAAATGGAGGAGATAATAGGAGATGAGGAAGACGAATTAATGGGCACAAGCAACAACCATCCTTCTTCTTCTTCTTCTTCTTCTTCTTCTTCTTCTACCATTTTCACCCTCCCAAATTTAAGGTTATTGGAACTGTATTACCTCCTAGAATTGGAGAGCATCTGCAAGGGTTTGATGGTTTGTGATTCTCTTGAAATAATTTGTATAAGGGTGTGTCGAGAGCTGAAGAGGCTCCCTCTATCTCTGCCCCTTGTTCATGGCCAGCCATCTCCTCCTGCCGCTCTTAAAAAGATCCAGATAAGCAAAGCAGAAGAAGAATGGTGGGAATCACTGGAGTGGGACCACCCCAATGCTAAGGATGTCCTTCAACCATTCCTTGATTGGTTCTAGTATTGAAGGAATGAATGACTGGGCACAGGTATAACATTCTTCTTCACTTTTTTCTATTTCAATCCCCATCTTTGCAATTGTGTTCCCCAAACACTGTTTGATTATAAAAGATTAATTTAAATGTTTAATTGTCCATTTTATTATGGTAAATAGTCTGCTAGTTTAAATCTTTGTTGGCAAGTCATGCTATTATTTCTTAACAATCAATGCTTCTGTACTTTTTCTAACAAAATACTGTATGTCTTTGTGTTTCTTGGTTTCCTGTAGGATATGACCAAATGTTTAAAGAAATGGTTGGTCAGAGTCAAGTCGATCTCCAGGTGGTAACCAATATTTTGATTCTTTCTCAAATGAGCAAGCTAGCAAATCTTGGAGGACCTTCAACCATTTGGTTTTGTTCATAATTCAACACTCAGTTCATTCAGTCTACCTGTGGTCTGTTGAATTTTTTTGCTTCATCTCCGCCTAAACTATGTCTGTATATTATTTTGTATGCTTGGACGACCTTCAACCAGTTGGATTTGATGATATTATTTTGTATGCTTCACTTCATTTATTTTGAATTTTTTTTTGAATGGGATAGATTTTGAATGAAGTTAAAAAAATTAACTTTTAAACTGCATACCCAGTGGAGGTTCTATATTTAGATAATTGTTTTCTTATTACACAAATTTAACCCTTTTTTTTTATTAAGACAATTTTGTTACTTCTTATAAAGTCTTACAATTACTAAATATAAGAGCACTCCATTAAAATACATTATTGTAAAATTTATAATAAAGTACTTTAAACAATATTGTTACTAAATAAATTTAAACATCTTCTTATTATGACAGTACTTTATAAAAATGCATCTCTCCACAGTTATCATGCATTTTATTAATAATCATTTTATGACAACTCTCCTAATAAAAGCATTTTTTTATTATGTTTTTAAAGCCCTTGGACCCCAGTATATATGCAGAAAATTTAGAGGTTAGGTTTCTATTTCATTTTCTAGAGAACTTACCAATTTAACAAAAATCAAAGTACAATTGCTCTGCATGGTGGCATCATTATTTTCAGCACCAATTCCTAATTTTTATATTGAAAGACAAATAAAATTTAAAAATGTTCTTTTTTGACCAATAAATCTTACTTTGAGATTTTTTTTCATTTAAGTCCTAAATCACTAAATCTTCATTTATATCCTTACTAAATTATATACACTCTTATTAAGTTAGATATAAATATTTTATCCAAACTTAAAAAAAAAAAAAAAGAAAAAAAAATTGGGGTTCGTGCAACCATTTTTTTACTACAACAGAGGGAAACAAAAAGTGGGTTTTAGTTGATTTGCGCTCTCCCCCACTCTCTCTATCATTATCATTATACTATCAATATTAAAGTAATCTCGTCAAAATATCATTATATAAAATTATAGGAGAGTCAAAGTTAATAGTGTAACTTGGTAAAAAAAAAAAGTGTGTAAAACTTTGACTAATTCCTGTAATTTGCTTTAAATGATTTTGGTATGAAATTTTGACTACAGGATATTTATATAATTCTCTTTCAAACTATTAAATTTGCACCATAATATTTATACATGATCATGACAAAAAGACATAGACTTTCAAACTCTTAAATTTGTACTATAATATTTATACATGATCATGACAAAAAAGACATTGTCTTTCAAATTGTTAAATTCGCATCATAATATTTATACATGATCGTGACAAAAAAACATAGTCTTTCAAATCATTAAATTCGCACCATAATATTTATACATGATCATGACAAAAAGACATAGTATTAATGAGAAATGTAATGTGGTAGACCTCATGATCACATTACTCCATTTTACACCTCTAATATATTACTAGACATCATGTAGCAATACTAAAATTTATTAAATCGATGATGCTGAACATATGATAATATGTTACATTTTTTAGACGTGATATTATTACAACTCCGTTTGTTTCAATGTTTTATTTCTGGTATATATATATATTTTCAGTATTTGGCAAAGGTCTATATCAAGATTGAAGTTGAGTCCATCGAGTAAGGCGCGGACGTGTAAAATAGTTTATCAAAAATTGATGAATAAATTATTTTTATCATATTTTAATATTTTTTATCTTCATAAAAATTTTACGACAATCAAACACTAAAAAACACAGAAAATTTACGCTCAAACGCAGCCTAAATTAAAATGCAAAATTGTAAATTGACGAGATGAAAAATAATTATGTTTTAAACATATACTCGTAGAGTTTGTTGGATGACATTAGTAACGGGTGGATTAGACATATCCTTTGCTCCGTTATTAACGTCACTCTGAAAATGGTCTAATTAAAATTTTATTGAAGTATAGATAAATCATATGAGGTTTAAATAAATTTTACCCTTGATTTAATAGCACGATAAAGTATATAAATATAAATATGTACCGAAAAAAGATTCAGATTAGGTCACACAATTGTTGATGGTGTGGCACTTGAAAGTAACGGGTGGCTCATACCAATAAAACATTTGACTATGTAGAGCCAAAACTTTTTAGATGCAGTGTAATATAGATGGAAATGAAGCTTGTTTTTCTCTTCTTCTCCTTCTTCTTCTTCTTCTTCTTCTTCCTTTTTTTTTTTTTTTTTTCCAAAGGTTAAACAAGTATAATATAAAAAATAAGATTTGGGCATGTGTAGATAGATAGGCCCAAATGTAGCCCAAACAAAAAGAAAACAAGGCCCAAGGACCAGGAAACCAAAGTATACATGGATTAGGAAGGCTCAGAAGCAAAGTAGGCCCAGTCCATAATAAATTAGGAATAGCTGTTGATGACAATCCGTGGAACATTATCAAAACCTATTTGTAATAACAGACTTGACAGTCCGGTAGCATAGGGCATGAGCGAAATTCAAAAAATCAAAGATAAATTCTAAAAAAGAATACTTTTATATAGAGAGAGAGAGTGTGGTGAAATGGGAAATATAAAGTGAATATGAATATAGTTTTTTATTGATTTAGAAAGAAAAAAAAAATTTGTGGTATCACGTTTAATCAATTAAACGTTTTAATTTTGACTAACTGATAACAAATGCTAAAAAAATAATAAATAATAACATAAAATTAACAAATTTTATACAAACCCTTTTTATTGCTATAATCCCTGTCCCTTTCTTCTTCATCCATATTTTGAGAGCTTAGGTTCACACTAAACCCAACTATGGCTCGTGTATCGAACTAAGTTCAACGATAATTATTTTTCAAAAATAAAAATAAAAAAATAAGTTAAACGATAATTAAATTTCAGGAATTTAAGGTCGCTTAGTTCATTCTTTGAGAAACTATTCTAGAAATTTTAAAATTAACAAATAATGTGACAATAGTTTGTGGAGAGGAACGGGTCTTTCTTTGCTCAGCTGTGGAAGAAATGGCTCATTTGATTGATAATTTTCTAAAAACAAATTATTATTATTATTATTATTTTATGAAAAATTAGTTGAAAAATACACTCTTAATAAGCGTATAAATGAAAAATTTAGTAATTGATGACTTAAATTATTAAAAAAAAAAACTGTCAAAAGTATGGCTTATTATTGATTCTGAAAAAACAAATACAGAGTAGAAGTTTATTCTTTCAATGAGAAAAGTAAGATTTTGTAATAATTTTTTTAATTTGTTAATAGTATTATTATTATTATTATTATTATTATTATTATTATATATATATTATTTTTGTAGTTGTAAAGACTATAGGCCATCGTAGACCCAATTGTATCCATTAAGCTCAAAAACAGGAAAAAGGAATGTGCCCTCATTCGAAGCTTCTGCCTGGTAATTTCACTTTGAACTAAAAAATAAAAATAAAAATTGAAAATGTTAATTAGTCATCAGATTGGAATGAATTAAGATGCATATAATGGTTTGAAATTAAAGTGTCGCGTGTGAGATAGTGCCATGGTATTGAATACCAATCGACTTTGTTTCACTTTTCTTCAATTCGATTTTTTAATTTAAAATTTAATTTAAAAATAAAAGAATGGATTAGGTTCGGATTAAGTTTAAACTCGAATTTAGCATCTGATATGGTAAATTGGATTACTGATGTAGTGGGGATTCGAACCTGAATCCTTGGCCACAAGCAACACATGCCCTACCACTGAACTATCATACTACATCCATGTCATTTGAACACTTGTGTTTGTGCGTCCATGTATGTATATTATTTTGTATTCTTATGAATTTTTAATTTGGAATTGGGACTGATACGGTTTTGATTCTTAAAATTTTATCCGTTCTTTGCACGCTCCTAACCTTTAGAAGAATAATATGCTAACTTTTAATAGTTTAGGAACAACTTGCTTCAAAATATAATTAGGGAGGGATTTTGCAACTAAGCAATAATTTACAGGGAATTTTTGCACTTTTACCTAAAAAGAAAGAAAAAATAAAACAAAAAATAAATATACATGGCAAACAGAGTTCCATCACGAAAGGGAAAACATTTCTCATGTTCCAATTTATTTGATGTGACATTTATGTGTTTGGATTGATTTCCACACCATCATCGTCAATTCATCAGGGGAGAGTCTAGAGACCGAGTGTTTTTAATTTACCGACCCGTCAAACACGCAACAATTAAAGTGCGATCCACAGACCTTTCCAGAAGGTGGGGTAATAATTTGCTGTCTACCACCTGGAAATTACAGTGCTATCCCCAGCATGTTCAAATGTTCAATGGCATTGGATCACCCTTTGCTTTATTCACTTTCCACTCTTGGTTTCACCTTGAAGAGGAAAAGCATTTAGCCCTACACAATTTTTTATTTTTTTATTTTTCCTTTATAATTATATTTTTGTATAATAAAAATACTTGTAAAGAAAATTTTTACTATTATTTGTTTTCAACTATTTTCTAATTCATCTATTTAGGTATTTGTAAACACAGTTAACAAAGTTCATAATAAAAAGTGATGTAACTCTCTGGGCATTTCCAATTTCATCAAAATATATTCTTGAAATCTGAACTAGACAAACTACTTGACCTTTTCATTTATGAATTTGTAGCTTCGCTTTTAATTATTTTTATTTTTTACCTTTCTTAAAAAATATTCTATTTCATTCTCAGTTAATTATTATTTTTATCTTCTGTGTCATTACGTTTCGTGCTTAAACAATCAGAACGTGCCATCTCTTGTTGTTAATGTCTTCTTTTTAATTTTCTTTTTTTCTTTTTCATTCTTATGCTTATTTATTGTAGAGTTTAAAAAAATTTGCTGCAGCAATAAGCCTATAACCCTATGCTTCTCCAGGTCTCCTCTTCTAGTAACAATCATTAAGGAGTGTGTTATTTGCCTTTTCCTTTATAATTCACTCTAAATACAATATATATATATATATATATATATATATATATATATATATATATATTGTAGACACTAAAATTTTAGTGAACTTTAATTTGGACAAATGGACCCATTAAATATGGGCCCAATGTTTAATTAAGTTATTTAATTGGCCCAAGTATGGTCCACTTAAATTATTTAATTAAGCCCAGTCTAGAGTCTAGATGGTCAAATAAAAAGAATAATTATTCCTAATAAAATATATTTGGAATAATTATTTTTAAGGA